CCTCCACCAGAACATCACTTTATTGTTAATCTGTCATCAACAATGTAAAACTCTAATAGGTATTCTATCCTGGTTTTTAAAAAGGTAAAAGATTACATTGGATTAGCTACTTTCTATGAAAGAAACTACAGCAATCGCAGAAGAGGGAAAATTTGAATGACCTCCCAAAAATGCACACTATAAGCAAAGGGGAGTGTACATTAAATCAAATGTCTGTTAGATTCATTACTTTTGAATGCACAGTGACAATTCTGGAAACTGTACATGATAGAATCACAGAAATGACTTAAATAACCAGAATTGTATTTTGTATGTGATCATCAGACCTTTAAACAATCCTTGAATTTTCCATGTTATTAGTCATTTTGGAGAAATTTCTGTTTATCACTCCAAATATAAGTTGTTAACAACACTGAGATGGAAGCATATGAAATACAAGGACTGAAATAAAAGTAAATTAGAAAGATGGCTAATCTACTAGATCAGGTAAAGGGGGGGAGCGGGTAGATGATGTGGGATTAGGGAGGAGGACAATGGGTAGTTTTTTTTTTCCCTTCATTTCAGAAGTAAGTTCTTCCAATGTAGTGTATCTGTTACATAGCTCTCCATTTCCAGTCCATTTCTGAAATTCTTATCGCATAGCCTTTTTGTACCTACTGGTCAACCCAACCAGTACTGTTGCCAAGCAACAAGTGTTACACGAGAATCTGAATGCATCAAATCTTCCTTGGCTGTGATTTCTTCGCGGCCCCAGTTTTCTCTGTTTCTGAGCGGGGTTTGTTTTTTCCTGGATTGTACACACAGGGTCAGGTGGAATGGAGTTCCAAATCACTCTGTGCTCCGCGGCATCCCGATTTCTTTCTGCAGCTAACCTCCTGACACGTTTGCAGCTGTTCTGTGGCAGAAAGACAATCTCCATGTTCAGGCGGTGAGCTTTCTTTCTTTCACCCTTGACCCTGGGGTTGCAGGCCATGGTGTTGGGCGTATCCCTGAGTGCAGCTGTCCTGCAGGATTCACTTCCTAGCGCACCGAGATTTCCTAGGGTTCCTCAGAGTAAGCCCCCAGTTGCATCACCACCGACTGTGGTGTGGCTTTGGATGCCTGAGGCTGAGTTGATTCTGGTGGATGTCTGACCTCGCTTAACCAGACTCATCTACTGTCTCACCATTCATACCCAGGCTGTCCAACCTTCATACAGCTGAGCCAAGTTATCTAGATTAGTTGCTTCCTTAATGACATAGTCAACCTGTAAAAGTAGGCAGGAGAATATTTTAAACAATTTAGACTTTTAAAGGACATATATGAGTTCTAGGAGTTGTTTAAGTTTCTAATCACCCAGATTAATAACCCAAAGGATGTATAGTTGCTATGGGGAATGGTTAAGTAACCTGAGCTTCTCTCATAATTCCACAGCCTACAAAATGTGTGTCTTGGCAAAGTTACAATCCCTTTGAGCCTTGTAAATCCTTAGATGAAGACAGAACCCCCACTGACCCCACAGGTGCTCTTGGGGTTAAACACATGAAGTTACTAAGTAAATGCTTAAGCAGTGTAAAAAAAAAAGCGCATAGCAGATTCTGAAATACAGTTGGGTGCTCGACAAATGTCTATTGATTCTGACTCAGCTAAATTTTCCTTTATAGTAAGAGATATAATCATCTCTATATCCACAGAATCCAGAGGGCCCAATTGTATGTTAAATGCTCAATATATGGCTGCTGAATGACGACTTATACCAAAAGTTGTGCACCAAGATCTCTACACTTACCGCCCCACCCCCGTGAGCCCATTAACTCTCTTTCATATAAAATTTAGTAACACAATAAAAAGCACCATAGCCAACCATCCTTCAAACAAATGAACAGACAGCTAAAGATAGACAGTCCTGGAGACCTTGTGGCTCAGTCGATTAAGGGTCTGCCTCTGACTCAGGTCATGATCCTGGGATGACCAGGATCCATTGTCTGGGATGGAGCCCAGAGTCCTGCTCAGCAGGGAGTCTGCTTCTCCCTCAGCCTTTGCCCCTCCCCTGGCTCATGTGCATGCTCTCTCTCTCTCAAATAAATAAAATCTTAAAAGAAAAAAAAAGACCATCCTGAAAGTACACAAGCCATTAACCTACCAGAAAGCTTCTGAAGCAAAGATACCCCTAACTCATTATTATCCATGTGTTTTGTTTTGTGGGTTGTTTTTTTTCCCCCCAAACTTGACAATTTCTAAGGAAATAATTCTTGACCAAGAAGAGTTTAATTTCAGGTCCTACACAGCTATGTAACAGCATTTAAAATATAAAAAGGACCTTTTCTTGCTGATGTTAAAACTGAATTGTAGATGTCAAAACATTAGAAAATAGGATATTCACAGTCTCAAATTTTTACCCCACGGAAGAAAAGGTACATTTGTAAAGGAGAATTCAGGAGAACACTATCCTTGACCAAATGACCTAACTTAATAACACAGAAGATGGAACACACAAAGATACATCACTGACATAGTATCCCTGCCAAAAATGTTGATTCCTAATTATGAGGAAAATATCAGACAAATACACAGTGAGGCACGTTCTACAAAATGACTGGTCTGAACACATCAGAAAGGTCAATGTCATAAAAGGAAAAAAAAAGAAAATCCTCAGGAACTGCTCTAGATATTAAAGGCAACTAAAAGTAGAACAAGTATATATGAAATTCAAGATGAGCCTTGACTAGATCTGGGGGGGCTAAGCAATAAAGGCCATTTTGGGATAACTGAAGAAATCTGAATATGGACTGCATGTGAGTTAACAGTCAATGTTAACATCAATAGTGAGTTTCCTGAGTTAATAATGTTTTGTTTAGGAGACATATATTGAAATATTTAGACACAAAGTGTTGTGTCTGTAACTCTCACAAGGCTCTGAAAAACAGTGTATGCATACACATACACAGAAAGATGAAGCAAATGTAGGAACACAACTGGTTTACTAAATCTAGGTAAAGAGTACATGGACATTCCTACAACATTTCTGTAGGTTTAAAAATCTCAAAATAAACAGCCAGGGCAGGGGGTGGGTATTCATTCTCAAATTTATATATACAATTTTAATAACACTAATGAGAAAATTTCAGAGTAATGACTTCAGACAAACTGACACCCCCAAACACTTTATAGATACTATTCCTGCACCCCAAACTTCACCCTGGTTTCACTGGAAACCTTCAGATAGTCCTCTTTAAAATGCAAATTAACTGCTCTCTGGTGGAGGACAGAGAGGGGGTCAAGTCACACCTTAAATTTCTGTTAGAAGAGGGCTGGAGAGAAAGGAAATGTGCTAAAAGGGTAGAGTCAGAATAAAACAGTGACTATTATTTGACAACTCCAGAGCTACCATTACTGAAAATTTTCTGAATTCTGAAAATAAATTTCAGTTCCTTATTTCTTGATGAACCACCAAGGACATGGGTGAGGGTATCCTTAAACCTGTACTGTTTCAGCAGCATTAAAATGGATAGATCGAGTTTAAAAAATGGTCACCTGTTCAGCAACTGACATCCTCCTATTCGGATCAACATCACGGCCCTCTAGCTTGGCTTTCACCCTCTTCCACACACTCACTGCATAGGAGTTTCTCTCTTGCACAGCTACGAAGCAACGGAAACATATGTTAAGTCAAACCAGCACTTTGTATAAATATTTAATGCATCCATATTCTAACTAATTACCTTTCCCCGTTTTAGGGTCTCTGACGGCCTTTTTAGGACTACAAGCAACACTCTTGCCAGTTCCTGGAATGGTGCTTGGTGGAGTATCTGCTGATGTGGCAAGATTTTTCTGAATCAGCTTTCTAGCATTCTGTGACATGACATCAGGCTGAGTCTTCTGGCCAGTGTTGCTCCGGACTGCTATAGAGAAAGAGTGGGTGGCTCAATTCACACGTAAACAGAAGAGATGGAGGGAGACAAAGAGGAGAGAGCAGGGCAGTGCTCTCTCAAACATCAACTACAAATGTACAGCCATGAAAAGAAATATGATTTTACAACCTTAAAGTCCTTATCCCTTGAAATACTGCCCTTCTAAAAATACAGCCTGAAGAGCTAGACATTCAAAAACAAATTTGTGCAATGATGCTCACTGCCTGTTGTGGCATCAAAAAACTATAAATATATTAACTGTCCAAAAATGTGGGATTAATATGGTAAAGACATAGAATGACATATTAAATTGGGGCATTAAGTCATTTTCTAAAAGATTCTCTGATGGCAAGGAAATTCCCAATTTAATATTAAGTGGGAAAAGGCAACAAGAACTGCATTCACAGAACGATCCCAATTTGTGCATGTGTGTGCGCACATATACACACAAGTCCAACAAGAAATATGTAATGGTTTTACCTCCAACTGGAATGAAACTACCAATTTTCCTATTTTTTAAAAATTTTCCCTGACAAGCATATATTTTATATTCATAAATCATTTAAAGAAAGGATTTAAGCACAAGATATTTCTACTTTCTCACACAAGTACCTTTTTTTTTTTTTTAAAGATTTTATTTATTTATTCATGAGAGACAGAGAAAGAGGCAGAGGCAGAGGGAGAAGCAGGCTCCTCGCAGAGCAGGGAGCCTAATGCAGATCTCAATCCAGGACCCCAGTATCATGACCTGAGCCAAAGGCAGACGCCCAACTGACTGAGCCACCCAGGCGCCCCAAAAGTTCCCATTTACACTGGAGAATATTGCCTCTGATGGATCCCCAAATCTTAAATAGTAGAAACCATGATTTCCATTTTTACAGATGAGAAAAAGTCTCAAGCTCAAGTAATTTTCCCAGACGACTTGTGAGTGAGCGATAGTTCAAATGAGTTTAGCTCTCTTTACCCTGATTCCATCACTCTGACACTGGGATACATTTTAATTAATTAGGAAAAACACACCATCTTAAAGGGAAAACATGACCTCAATCTTCTTAAAAGCAAGAAAAAACTGACCCCATTCAGCTTCCATCCAACAACTATTTCTTTCAGAAAAATGAAATATTATGCACACATGATAATAATAATTTGAAAACAACTTTGCATCTAATCCCATGAGAAGTCAAGAAAAGTGTGATCAACGTACTTCCGGTAGAGTTCTTGACAGCGCTCTACTGTGGTGTTACAGATGAGTTCCTCCATCCAGGTCTTCCACTGCTCAATTCGATGTTTCTGAAATATGGCCTTTGGATACTGCAGAGCTACGGTGGCATAGTGATGCAGCTGTTCCAGACAGCCTCGGAGCACGGAGCGCCTCTGCTGGAGAAGAGCGCCCACTTCCCCCTCCAGCTGCTCACACTGGCTAATCAAGTGCGCCTGACCAGCATTCTGCAGAAAGGCTGTTGCTGGCACATAGCTTGGAGGACCTTTTGGTAAAAGACAATTATTAATCACGGTGAAACTATTCCAAACCAGCAGTAGTCGAAAGGAGCACAAACCAGAACCCCACACATAAACACACAAATACAAAACTCACATGCTCAACATGTGTATCTAAGATAAATCAACCCATACCAAGGTCCATTTGTGAGCTTATCTCCTGAAGCAAACTTGCAAGCTGTGTTGCTTCTAAATTATTGAACGCAGCCTGATAATGTGTTATCCACTGTTCAAATTCATTCAGCTTCACCTGGATTGCTTCCTGAACAGCCCTTTGCTGAGTCTGTAGTTGAGTATGTTCAGAATACCTAATAGGAGGGAAAAAACTTAAATTGCTTCTTCCTTCTATGTACTTTCATAACCTTGATTTTGCTCATACTTGGGACTGCCTGGTAAGCTCCTTTTCAATCTTGAGGGCAATGCTCAAATGTCCCTTACTTCTCTGGTTTTCCCCATATTTCTCTCAGCTATACTCAACAACATTTTAAATAACACATTTTCAAAACCCACCACACCTGCCAGGTGTTATCTTTAGTGTAAACGATGGATACTTCACAGATCTTTTCATCTCAGAGATTCATGCAGTGTGTAGTACTTGCATATTTACCCTTTACCAAGCACCTGCACTGTACAAGGGTCATCCACTTAGATCATTCTATTTAGTTTAATGCTTAATTCAGCAAAGTGGATAAAATAACTGCCACTGTACTAATGAGTAAGGATTCAGACACGAACTGTAGAGAGAAACCCAAACCTCAGGTTTTCTGAATCCAAGTTCATGTCCTAACCACTATATCTACTTATCTCCCATAATTACTCAAACATTTCAATTTAATATAATAAAGCAGAAAATTTAAGTGAATTTCTGTGTATTAATTCAAAATTGCAGTCCTTGGGAGAGCTTCTATCATTTATGTAAACTGCTTAGTAATTCTAATTCAAGTTGACAATGTTTACACAAATATGAAAATTCTCCTTAATGGCATATATTTAGAAACAAGTGTTCAACACTTTTAAACCTGTGCTGCAGAGTGTGAGAAGGATGGTCCACTCCTTCAGCTCCTTCTAGAAACTCTATTTCTTCCAGCAGTTTGCCTTGCAGTTTTTCCACGTCTGTCAGTTGCTCTTGTAAGCTTAGGTATTCATCTAAGCTGCTGTCCAGCTTGGGAAGCACAACCAGCATCTCATCCCTATTCTTAAACCAGTTCACCTGTAAAAAGGTAATTATGATTAGGGAAATTCTTACAGGGTCAACTGTGAGATATGATGATATCTGCTACAAGCATCATGTTAGATGGACATCCTGGATATATTACTCTATTTAAATCTCTTATTTAAACCCCTGAGGGGGTGATGGAACCACATGTATTTTACAGATAATGATAACCACTGCATTCAAGTTCACATAGCCATAAACTGAGACTCAAATCTCAACAACACCATGTAGTTACCACCATGCCACACAATATACTGTATGTCTTTGTATGGGAACATATCCTACTAAAAAGACATCAAATTGCCCTATTTCACGGACATTTACAATATTATACAGGACAGTCTTTCAAAAATATTTTTAAAGGATAGTTTTACCCAGCTTTTTGATGGACATGTTAACACTAGTAAAATGATGGTGATGACTTATCATTGCCTTCACCTTAATTTCAGCTACTCTGGAAGAAAAGAGGCTGCGGGTGATCTCTCGCTCCATCTCTCTCTTGCTCTGCTTGCTCTCAGCCTGCTGGCCACCTCCACCATAGACAGCGCCAGCAAATCCCGCCTCACCCCCAGCCGTCCAGTCCACCAGGGGGTCATACACAAAGGCCTCCAGCAATGTCAGCAGAGTCTCTCTGCCACGCCGCATGATGTGTAGAACCTGTTTTCAGAGGTGTTTTAAATCAGGTTTTGCCACAAGTTTCCTCATTCAAATGTACTTTTTCATTCCACAGGATTTAAGAGGTACATTAAAAGGTATGAGAGAAACAGCATACCTGCTCACATGAAAGCCTAAAAACACCTTCTACTCCGGTTACACCCAGTGCTGTTTCAATATTCTGTGTCATTCGAAAAGGTACTTTCTCAGGAACTCTAAGGCTTTTACCTTGAAAAGACAAATTGTTATATTTCTGTCCTTTTATCAAAAACATTTGACCCTCATATAAATGTAAAAGTCCAACTTAATTTTACCTTTTTCAAAGCAAACATTGTAATCTATGTGAACCACCTCTCCCGTCGTCATATCTATAAGAACATTATCCAGATGTCTATCTCCAAGGCCAATTATGTATCCGACCATAGACATGACTGCAGTAGATCTGGCATAAGACTAAACAAGAGGGGAGAGGGGGTGGGGAGAGCAAGTTGTAACACCATCAGCAAATTTCCTTCCAACATGGTTTGATGCTCCAAAATTCACACAATTCCATAATCCCACTCCCTCGTTTCTAAATAGCACTCCTCAGGGATGCTGCAAGTGGTCCCAGAGGCTCTGCACTGAGCAGCAGACAACACTGTGGTCCTTGTTGGTCCTACTTAGTATTCGAATGCTAGATTTAAAACAAAACAACTATTTTCAGCCTCCCTAGTTTTTCCCTCTCTCAAGCTTTTATTCTTCTTTTCATTTCATCCATAATCCCCTCTGTTCTGCCCTCACACTCATGGCCATGCCTTATGAAAATAAGTGCAACGCAAGACTCGAATACAGGTCTCAAACTACCAAGTCTGGAGTGAGACGAAGGGTAAAAGGAGGAGGGTGAACAACAGACTAGACAGGAAGCAGGCAAAAGAAACAGTAATATTTATTACGCCCCAAAACAAAACACATACCTGTGTGACTCTCCACCATTCGTCAGGTGTGGTGCAAGATGACCAAAGCTCTTTAGCAAGGAGATTTGGGGGGGTGGCCTCCATTAACTCTTCTAATACCGCCTTCATTACATGAAGAGGCCAATCCCGTCGGGACACATCCAGACTAAGCCCAACTGCTTTTAAAGCAGGGCCAATTTTACTATAATAAAGTTCACTAGGACGAGGTACAATTCCAGGATTCTGAGGAGTTTGGTAGGAATCTTGGGCCTTAAAAAAATTTTTTTAAGAAAAAAAAAATAAACTTTATTTAAATGAAGATAAAGATTACTTTGAATATAGTATTTTAAAAACCAGTTTTTGAGCGGCATTCTCCACCTTCCCAGCCAAATTGCACATACCAAATAAATAATTTTTCTAGACTATGCATCTTTTTACAACCTACCTATCTTTCTCTTAATTAAGTTCTATCACTTTATTGAAAACTTGGTCTACTGTTCTATTTTCTTGATCTCCAATTCAAACTCAACATTTACATTCTTCTTTGTAACCTATAATTCTACTGAAAATTTATCATTAATTTATGCACAAATTTCATTCTTCACTGATACGACTCAATCATCAATATAAAATTAACAGTATTCAGACAAAAACTGATAGCCCCTCTCTAATTCCCATCTCTCGTTTAACCCTCAGTAATTGTTCTGCAGTCTCCTATGCTTATTTTTTAAACTTGACCCCTTTCAAACTTTTGCTCCTTCCCATACCCACCATAATTAGAATAATTAGAATATTTTGGCTAGATATGGACTCTTGAGGTTGAGACTGTATAAAACTTATTTTTATTTCTGTAGCACTTAGTACTGTTCCTGGCATATATACTAAGCACTCAGATGCTTAGCTAAATGAATTCTAAATTAAATCCCTAGTCTAAATCAAAATCATAAATTTCAGAGGCACAAAATATGACATCACAGTAATTAACTCTAAATATAATATAAAGTTGTTTCTTCTTTACGTACTTAATTTAAAAGAAACTGGTTTTCAAAGCTCTCTTCTTTGTAAATTTAATTTAAAAGACCCTAGGGGGCGCCTGGGTGGTTCAAGTCGGTTCAGTGTCCACCTTCTTGGCTCATGATCCCGGGGTCCTATCTGTGATCCTGTGATCCCGTGATGGAGCCCCACATGGGCTCCCTGCTCAGCAGGGAGTCTGCCTCTCCTTCTCCCTCTGCCTCTCCCCCCCATTTTCTCTCTCGCGCACGCTCTAATAAAATCTTTAAAATATAAAAAAAAAATAAAAGACCCCTAGTAAGCCCAATAAAAAAATCATTAAGATGTGAAATATCAACTTACTGATTAACAACCACACTACCACCCTACCTGCTCCCCCTGTATTTGTCTAGAATAAGATTAACCAAATGTCACCATTTCCACCTCTTAAAACTTTATTTAAATGTGCCTCAGAAACACTTTCCTAAATATTTCAAAAGTCTGTTCTGTAACATTTATAAACTTACCAAAATGCTCAAGTACAGTAAGCCTATGAGTCACACAGAACAAGAAAGAGACTAATATATGTTTTTATGGAAATTCAAATAAAAGTACATGTATATCTGAATTTATCAACCTTCTGTGCTTGTAAGGCGGCTTCCCGTTGTTGCCATCGTTTGTAAAGACCAAATAAGGGTGTGGCTCCATCCACCCACTGGATTAGTCCTGAGCGTGTTCCTAGTGGCGTTACGGAATAGTGTCGGGCATGGAAACGGGGTGTTTCCTGGCGATTGATTGTAGCAAACATGGTATTCACAATAGACAGGAACTGCATTATTCTCTCATCCAGATGTAAATCTTCTAATCCTATGGAAACAAAATTTAAAGTAGCTAGAGTGGTGACCAAATGGGGTGGGTATGGGGTTACAAATGTATCACTTTTGTGTTTCCTCTCAATCAACAGGAGCAGTCAAGAACTGAGAGCCAGGAGAGCATAATGGGAGCATTAGAGAACATTCCATTCAGTCACAAGGTATTAGATACTAGAATTATTAGCTGTACCTCAGTTCTGCTTGCATAAGTTAAACAAAAAGACGAGAGGCAATGGAAAATCTTACTACACAGGCTCCAACCACTTCCATTCAAAATCACAGAAGATACAAGACAATCCAGGCTATTCACCTGGAACAATCCTCTCCGAGCACATTCATACCCAAAGCATCCATAATCAAATTAAGGCTCTTCTTTTAAATCCCACCTTTGAAAAGATAAGGATAGCTCTTGCCATCTGACCCTAGAAAGAGAAGTTTCTTTGGCTTGGTTTTGGTAGGTAAGATGGTGATGGTTCCGCCCACACTGTGGATTGTGACAGTGTCTCTAGCTGACACTTCTCCAGGAAGAGCAATTTCAGTGTTAGTCATGGCAGCCAGCCACGGGCTGATTTCTTCAAGACGCAAGATATAACTTGCACGTTTCTGTGCTCTCTGTTGCAAACTCAGCATTATCTATATTTATAAGATGGGGAAAAACAGGTTTACGTTATCACTGCAACACTTAACTTTCTTCCACATTCAATTTGGCATAAAAGTAAACTTAAAATACCAATACAGAAATTTCGTATTGTAGTTCCTAAATTTAATTTCATGTTACATACTTGGGCCATCCTGAGAGAGGAAATACTGGTGTGCTGATATGACCTAGGTGATTTCTACTTTGTTCAGACCTCTTTTTCTCTGTCCAAACAACCAATGCAATCACAGCAGATGGAAGGAAAGCACTGCTGTGATCACAAAATTCAGGGCTGGTAGCAAGCTAATTCCCCATGTTAAGCTACGTTTTATAAATGCCAAAACAAATCAATTAAGTCCTTACAGCAGAGCAAAAGATAAAACTGACAGCTGCTGGGTGTCAAGTTGACACACTCTTAGAAGCCACTTGAAAAGTTGGTAACAATTTAGAGCTCTGACCACTTGAAGTATGCAGAATTAACACCACAACCCCTTCTAATAATTCATAGGGAGTGGATTGCATGTACAGTTGTATCGCTACTTAGCTAACTTAATAATGTGCTCCTGAATTAATTCTGAGCTCTGCTTTCATGTGAAAAATGTTTTTTCAATCTTCAGTGAGCTTTGTTCCATAAAAGGAAAAAGACAACTGGAAACACCCCAAGTAGCCACAGACAGGACACAATGGATAAACTGTAGCATTTTCCCATAATATATCAATGTTCAGCTGTATACAAAATATGGATGAATCATAAAATCCTAAGGCTGACCCATCAATTATGGAATAAACAGACATATATATACAGACATATGCATATATGTAAGGTCTCATTTATATGAAGTTTAGAAACAGGCAGAAACTAAATACATCTTTTAGAAATTCATCAATAAATAACAATTTTTTTTTTTTTTTAAGTATTCCTCTTATCTCTTCCTCTGGTTTTCTTAGTTGATTTATTGAAAAGGAGACAAAGAAGCAAGAAACTGCTGTTGGAATGCAAGCAGACAAGTTTTGGCTAGGCCACACACAATAAACTTCATCCTTCATGTTAGTGTTCTAGTCTTCTGCTTCTAGCTATTTACTATGAATTTAGCATTTGTTCTAGTTTCCTCTGGATGGTATTTACTAGTTAAAGTCAGGTGTACTCTTTGTTTCTACACTGTACCTTTTAATAGTTTTCTCATTGCTAAAGTAAGGAAATCAGGAGCAATAAAGGTAAGGGACAGAGAAAGAAAGGATAAAAAAGAGAAAGCTACAAGGTAATAAATAGGTTCCCCAAATAATGGTGCTGTTGCTATACCAGATAAAACCAAAGTAAATACAGATTAAGGGGACCACAACATAGAAGATAAGGATTCTCAGGTGCCTGCGTGGCTCAGTCAGTTAACTGTCTGCCTTCAGCTCAGGTCACGATCCCGGGGTCCTGGGATCGAGTCCCACATTGTTCTCCCTGCTCCATTGGGAGCCTGCTTCTCCCTCTCCCTCTCCCTCTGCCCCCTACTCCTGTTGGCTCGCTCTCGTGCGCTCTCTCTCTCAAATAAATAAAATCTTAAAAAAAAAAGATAAGGATTCTCAAATATTTAAATATGCTAATCATCCCCAAATAGCCTATGCAGAATTGATTTTCAAACAGTTACTTATAAATATTGATGTTGCTATATGTGAATATTTTGTCTGTTAGAAATACTTAATACTCACCCCTAAGAAAGGCTATATAGGTAGAAGATTAAATTTTGTAATCTTTTATGAAGACAAAAAGCAAGCCATCAATATTTAGTTCAAGACCAGACCCCTTCCTTAACTAATTTCTTACAGTATATTCTTCCTAGTGTGAAACCTCTATAGATAAAAGTTTGCTGCCCTAGGCCCATTAGCTCCCAAATTCTCAAAATGATAAAAATACCTCTCTTCACATTCCTTATAAGCAACTGGTCATAGGCTGCCTTCCATGGACCTACAAAATCTTTCACATTCCAAGTAAGGAGAGTCCCCATAATCAAATTTTGTATCTCATACGGAATTTCCCATTTTAGTAGCATCCTTGAGATTTTTCTGTACCTCTTTAAATGGAATCCAGCTGCTTCCAGGCTTTGCAGGATTTGACGGTGTCTTCAGCTTTTCAAGAGCATTTTCAATTGCTTCCCCATAGTTATCCTGAAACCACTTTTCATGAGGTGTTTCTGCAGGGGCTGCAGTGATACTCCTTACATGCTCCAAAGCAAACACAATGGGCTTCATCAAAGCCGTGTGCTTTTCCCGCATGATTGCAATTTTCTCTTCCCTGACCAGGAAGACATCGAGAGTTTTACAAACATGGAAGAGTTTAAATGCATCTAGTGTAAGTAAACAGTATCAAAGAATAAGCTAAAATAAATAAAATATCAGCACAATAACTTAAAACGCAGCATTGTAAAAATATCCAGCACATGAAAGAGGCAGCTTTTCAACACCCGGCGCTGAGAAAACTAGGTATCCACTTGCAAAGAATGAAGTCAGACCCTTACCTTCCTTATACGATCATGTAAAAAAAATAACTCAAATTGGATCAAAGACCTTAAGACCTAAGACTCTTAGGAAAGAATGTGAGGGAGGGGCGCCTGTGTGGCTCAGTCGTTAGGCGTCTGCCTTTGGCTCAGGTCATGATCCCAGGGTCCTGGGATCCAGCCCCACATCGGGCTCCCTGCTCTGCAGGAAGCCTGCTTCTCCCTCTCCCACTCCCCCTGCTTGTGTTCCCTCTCTCACTGTCTCTCTGTCAAATAAATAAATAAAATCTTAAAAAAAAAAA